AGTTATAAGTGGGGATATAAGTATGGTAACTATAGTTATAACCCAAATTAGGGGACTTATAACCCCACTTATAACTACCCATGAACCTCCAAGTAGTCCCAGCGACTGAGACCACACCGCCACACCGGCAATTGCGGAGAGAGCAAGCACGCGGGCTCCGAGACGCACCATCTTAAATGATTTCTTCTGAGCTGTTGCCGGGATCTGAGCCAGAAAGGTGCTGAGATGGAGACCACTAAGCTCTAGCTCACTAGAGCTGTCCTATCTAGCCATTCTGCACCCCAGTTCCAATATCAAAGTTTTTATCATCAGAAATCAGCATGAAAGTGCCGATAGCCTGACCAATGAATGAATACGGTTGTATACATGTATAGACTGGACATGAAGGGATAAATGTGCACGTGTGTACGTGTGCGTGTGTATTTAGAGTGATTAGGGATTCAATTCAAGGGCTCGGGGGTCTAGTCTAGGGGTTATGACGGTCGAGGGCACACAAATTGTCTAGTTTACGGGCATGGTTCTGATGTAACCCCTGAAAGGGTCCAGGGTTTCGGGTTCCGCAGGTACGGGCGTAGAAGGGCTTGGCATCTAGAATATCGGTTAAGGATGCCTCAACCACATCCTCAGCTGTAGACTTGGCTAGATCGTAGTCGGAGCTCGATTTGCGCGGACTAGCACAGAGAATCGCAAAGCAACTAAACACGGTACAAAAAACCGGTGTAAACAAGCCCAGGAGTGTCCGAAAGACTGTTCATCCATCGACCTCATTTGCTGCAGGTAGGCTCCTATCTCCTCAAGCCCAGCAAAGATTACAAGAAGCCTATTGTAAAATCTCCCAATAAGCCCCTATGGCTTTGGAAACCCCCTACTACGGGGAGAAGCATTCTATTCTATGGGTAAGCTTGCGGAAGGACGATAACCGGATACGAACTCATTCAGGCCTCGAAATCACATCCGTTAAAGACTATAGCCCCAAAACACCTGCCATGTTAAGGACTCATACAAAGAAATCAGAAAAAGGAACCCTAAAAAGGTGGGTTTAGGGTTTTGGGTAGAAGGTCAAGGTAAGGCCAAAACACCGGCCTGCTGCTGTCGCAGGCACCCCACGTTTGCGCAGGACTTCAGCAGCATGCGTACCTGCAGCAGCCAAGAAAGGAGGAAGGCAGGGTTAAGGGGTTCATGGGTCCTGCAAGTTTAAGGTTAAGGAGCCCAAGGTTTCTGAAATGGTGGGTTGTGTCGGTGTCAATTATCAAAATGTTTGTAAGGCTTCCTGAAACAGCAGATACATGGAGCAAAACGAGCACAGCTCTGAGTTGTCTTTGCCTCCAGCAGAATATGTCCTGGCCAGAGAGCGGCAGCATCAACATCAAAGTAACCCTTATCTTTCTGCACTCTGGCCAAAGGCATGCAAACACTCCAAATGCCGTGCCGCATCCCCGATACCTTCTGCGTTTGTTCTGGCATGTGTCCGACTCCTGCAAAACCCGTGCGAGCTCCCGGTGTCCATTCTGCGCTGGGATGGAAAAAGGTATACCAAGGTGTGGCGCCACCCTACTTGGTTTGGTCCTTGTCTGCATTGAGGATCCCCATCATGCATGGCCCTGTCCTTGTCCGAATCGGCCTCCAGCAACAGACATGCAACCTCCGACTGCCCGTCCTGAGCCGCCATGAACAACGGGGTGCTGCCATCATGCATGGCCTTGTCCTTGTCCGCATTGGCCTCCAGCAACCGGCGTGCAACCTCCGACTGCCCGCTCTGAGGTGTGATGAACAATGGGGTGGCGCTATGATTGGCCTTGTCCTTCTCCGCATTGGCCTCCAGCAAACCCCTTAAAAGCTCAAGCTGTCCAGTCCGAGCTGCAATGAACAAAGGGGTGTAGCCATGATGCATGGCCTTGTCGACGCGTCCGCATTGGTCTCAAGCCAAAGACGCGCAACCTCTAACTTCCCCATCTCAGCTGCTATGTGCAAAGGTGGCACCAGCTTCCAAGGCATTCTCCATGTATGCATTGGCCTCTAGCATGCGACTTTCAACTGTCCATCCTCGATGAACAAGGGCTTGCGCCATCTTGCAAGGCCTTGTCCGCACTGGCTTCCATCAGAAATCCAAGGCCTTGTCCGCATTGGCGTCCAGCAGAAGAAATCGTGACACCACATCTGGGTCTTACGGCCTTGTAGAATATTTTCCACTTCTGATGTCAAGCCACTTCTTGCAGTATCCCCAGGTGCTTCCGCTTGCATGCCTGCTGGGCAGATGTTTAGAAGGCACGACCTGAACTTCGCCTGGTCTCAATCCGCGATCGTCATCTAGAAGCACATTATCACGCCCGTCGTCCAGGAACACCAATCTTTACCGGCCCACGCATGCTGTGCAAGTACTGTCTCAATGCCTGGACCGGATGCCTGCCTCCAGGAAGCATCTCGAGAAAGCTCGCCAAGCCAAGGGCAACGAGTCCTTCACCCGACGCTGTCCGCATCTGCGGCATGGCTAGCGGCGGCGAACGCTAAACGGAAGAGAAGAAGACTCGTATACGAACTAGGCTCTGCTGTATTTGCTCGACGTTTAGAACGGCTGGCACTCGGCAGCAGATTTTTGTGGAATGTGCCGCGTTGGGCACGGTTCAGATGACCAACCCTTTTCCAAACCCTCTCTCCTAAAACCCGAAACCCAGAACACTGAAACCGTAAGACCTTAAACCTAGACGTAAACCCCTACAGTATGTTAAGTCGGGCTCTTGGCTAGCATGTGACCACCCGACGCCCGCAGCTGCGCTATGCACCGGCAAAACATCCAAACTCAATGCATCCTGAAACTTGGTCGAGGGGCCTCGACAATTCGAATTAAGGCTTCCGGGGTGTATGCTACTGAAATCTAGAATCGGCTGCAAGGGGCTGGTATTCCAGTTCCTTCAGACACCAATGCTTCAGAGCACACCCCAGCAACCAAATCCGAAAATCGGAGCAAGTCCTTAACCCATGACTTTTTTTGAACTCAGACTCTGCTGATCAGCCTTATCTTAAACCCTAAACCCCAATGACTTGAGAGTCCTTGACAAAAGTGGATGCATGAACACTGCAGAAAGTCAGTGGGGGTCGTAGCTTTAAACTGGATCCTACATCTATCTATACATATACATATATATGGTGTATATATTTGTATGTATATATAGATATACATATGTATATGTGATACATATATATATATATTTTTTTTGTATATATATATATGGTCCTTTCAAAATAGGAACTACAATGGAGACTACAGGTTTAGTTATCGAGCGCTGAACCCTGAACCGTAGGGTTGTGGAAGACTAGGACTCAGACGAGGACCCCAAGCAGAACAACCCAGGCTTCGGGATTCTTGCATGTGGCGTCTCGGACTTGGGATATATCGGTTTGCAGGAAATTTACGGTTCTGCTGTTGCAACATGACAGTCCACTCTGGCCTTCTGTCCCTCGTCTGGAACTCTAGCTACCTGTCGTCACCTCCCTTTTCGGGATGTTAGAACAAAGCAAGAATAAGGAAACGCAAATCCAAACGTGCAGAGCTGTTGAGCAAAACGTGCAAAACCCCAAAGCCGCAAACCACAGGGCACATGCCAGCACGTCACCCGAGCGGACGAGAACGTCGCCATCACGGGGCGGCTGAATCGACGGCCTTACCTGGCATACTATATTTTTTTGTGAATTTGTTTTTGAAGGGGGTTTGGGGTTGAGAGTTTGGAGCTAAGGGTGCAGGGCCTAGGAACACCCTCTTGGAACGAGAAGATAGAGGCTCCAATGAGGGTCCTGCGAGGCTTTTTTGTGACTTCCCGTGGTCTTGACAGGGTTTTATAAGATCTTGGGGGCCGTCTGCCCTCAACCGTAAACCCTGCTCAGCACGGACTGAGGTGCCGGCCAGAACCTATGTAACCCCTCACCCCCTCTTAAGGCAAGAGCGCACAGGAAAAAGCTGTAAATGCCAACGGACTGAAGCTTAGGCTGAAGATTCCGAAGAAGACGCTAACTCTGTTGAGATTCTCTCCCAGCACCATTTATAAGGGTGCCGTACTATATTGGAGACCCAAAAAGGGACCCTAACTTAGAGAACTATCCACATGCCCTAAAACCCTAAACCCTAAACCCCAAAACCCCAAACCCTAAACACCAAAACCCCAAAACCCAAAACCGCAAACCCCTAAACCCTAAACCCCAAAACCCCTAAACCCCTAAACTCTAAAACCGGACCTTTTGGCAAAGCAAGATTCCCAAGGAGCCTTGGCTGTGCCTACGTCAGCGCGCATCTCCAGCAGCAGCTGGACCATGTCTGTGCAGTTTGAGGGTTGAGCGTTTAGGGGTTTAGGGTTTAGGGGTTTAGGGTTTAGGGGTTTAGGGTTTAGGGGGTTTAGGGTCTAGGGTTTAGGGTTTTTGAAGGATCGTGGGGGTAAGATCCCTAAGCCCTAAGCCCTAAATGAGCGGTCAGTTTCGGGTTTAGGCTTTATGGTTTTGACGGATGTCAGGGTGTATAATATCGGGTTAAAAGGCCCTCATGGCGGGGGTGGGGTCTGCAGGGGTTCTTTGAGGTAGTTGAGGGTTTAAGGTTTGGGGAGGAATTTAAAAAGAGTTAGGGTTGGGGCTGTAGAGGGTGTTTAGGATGTACGGCTTAAGATTAAAGGTACAAGGTTTTCGTTCTCGGCCACTTGAAAGTAGAGCTTCAAAACGAGATGGCCATGTAGTTTTGAGGACATCTGACCTGAATATGACCATAAACGACCATACATGACCATACTATCAGTGAGGCCCGGGTCACCTCGAGTTGTGCCCTGTTGGTTCTAGCTTTGAGCAGCTCAGGGCTTTTGTTTGGCGGCTTGCATAGATGTGAGGATGGGGGTGTATACCAAGAGAGGCATTCAAGGAGGCTTCGCGTCTTCGGGCCTTAGGGCTTCCTATGTTGGGGTTTGCTGAAGCGTTTCGTTGCTATGTCCCGACACATAACCCTAGACACTATAGACCCGAAGCTCGACTCTTACCCTAGACCCCACCTTAAGCTACCATAACCTAATTTTTGTAGGTGCTTATTATAAACCCCAATACAGAATCTATAAGGACCCTGCGAAAAGTAGGTTTTGGTAGCTTAAGGTTTAGCCTAAAGCCCTCCATCCCTTAAACCCTAAACCCTAAACCCCTAAAGCCCTAAACCCTCTATACCCCAAACCCCTTCATCCCTTGCAAAGGCCGCTCCTGGCTGCTGCACCGCCCAGTGCAGCGGCCGCCCCGGAGCTGGGCCAAAGCAGTCGGCGTCCTAAGTAATGTGGGGTTATACATACACAGATAGGCATGTGTATATATATATACACACAGATAGATAATGGTTAATATTTAGGGCTTACGGGGTTTAATGTGGGGGCCTTAATTATTAGAATAAGGTTTTGGGGGGCTTAGTAGAATTATGGTATAAGTAATGTGGGGGCCTTAATACAATGTAATTAGACTAGGGTTTTGGGGGCTCCTTATTAGAGTTATAGTCTAATTATTAAGGCCTCTATATTACTTGGGCCACGGTTTAGGATGCTCGGGCTTTGAAGGTTAAACCGAGGGTTTATGGGGTTTGGTGGTTCAAAAATTGAGGGTTAAAATTTCGGATTCAGGGTTTAGGGGCAAAGCTTAGGGCTCTAGGGTCCCAGGGTTGAAAGACTTTAGGGCCTTGGGGCTTTAGGACGGCAGGGTTTAAATTCAGGGTTTCGGAATTCTACGGTTGTAGGACCTTAGAGTCTCGTAGGGCTCCTAAATTCTCGGGTTTAGGGCTGATCCAGCCCAATATAACAATGCAAAATCACGTAAAGCCTCCAACTCCCTCGACAAAGATGCTTCAAGCGAATAGAATCCCCACGTGACGAACATGCGATTGTCAACATCATCACCCTCTTTTCTCGAAAAGGCACAATTAAGACAAATGTTGATAGCACTGTGCACGACGATATTCCCTTAACCCTCCACCTTGACTAACCCCTAAGCCTCAATGGCCTCAATCTCTGAACAGGATAAACCTTACAGATGCTAAAACCCTATAAACATCTATAAACCATTTTAAAGCCAACGAGTCCTGAAAGCCCTAAAACCCCAAACGGCAAAGGACTAGCTCGGCGCCGGAGGCCACGAGTTCCTGCAGAGTCTTCCGGGGGGGGCTCTAGGGTTTCGGAGTTAGGGTTCAGAGTTCAGAGTTTGGGGTTGAGGGTTTAGGGTTCAGAAACTGCAGTCTTGAAACTAGGTTCAGTTGAGGGTTTAGTTTAGGGCTTTAGAAGCGTTAGGGTACGCGGAGGGGCTTTGGCAAGAGTCTCGCAAGGTTGTAAGAGCCTTTTATGTATGTCGGTTTTTGTGAACGAGTGGGCGTGAAGTTACCGGGACAGGAATGTTCTGTACATGGTGTTTGTGAAAAAAATCAAAATGAAACGAAACAGCCCATCATTAAACTAGACGCTAGACATGGGCCCAAGCGGCCACCGTGTACCATCTTGCAATCTTGCAAAGACTCAGGCATGCGATTAGGGTTACATAAGGTGTTGGAGGCGCCGGTGAATTCTCAGAGTGGTTCCGCCTTTTCTTGGCCGTTTGCCTTCCCACAGCCACCTTCGTCTCATAGCCTAAACCCTCAATCCTAAACGCATAAGCCAAGGAAACGTCAAAGTGTTTACGATATCCAGAAGGTAAGAGATTAAGAGACCCGAGTATACACCCTTAATCGTCCGACTCCTTCATTGAAGGACCCTCGACGAGGGACCCTTAATAATCTCTAACATAAGAAACCGCCGCTACCTTCTGGGCTACTTGGCTACCCGAGGATGAAAATGCTGCTACGCCCGACCTTAACCTACCAAAACCTTCGGTTCTGGTGCGTTAAGGTATAAGCTGCAG